GGGATCGATGGGTTTAATCAGGAGCGTGTTATGGACATGCCAGGGGGCCTGTTGGGAAGGGATGGGAAGCGCCAGAGAACGGCGCGTCCCCGCCATTAGAGGAAACGTCAGAAACCCAGCTGCGGGGCCGTGCACCCAGCCACCTGTGTTACAAAACGGCCCCGGTCTGCCCGGTAATGGTGTGAAAAGCGCCTGCTTCCCCTCGGGATCTAAAACAAAAGCCAGAAACATCATCCCGGCAACAGGGCTGGGTGGGCAGCCTGAGTGACCAGCGCGAGGAGGGGCTGGGGCCAAGCGCACCCACTTCTCGGAGCTCATCTCGGGAGCGGGAAGGACGACTGCACCACCTCCCCGAGGGCCCAGCCGGCTCCCAGGCTCTGCCGCGTCCCAGCCGGGCCCTCGGGGCACGCTAGTTACCTCACCTTTCTGCGGCTCGGTTTCCTCCCGTAAAGGGGGGTGTTAATAAGGCCTACTCCTCAGTGTCGCCGAGATTAAATCGGTTAGTAAGTTGCAGGTGCTTAGAACGCCGTCTGGCACAGAGTCGGTCCTCGGTGAGAGGCGCGGGTGGTGCGGGAGGGGGTGAGGGTGCCGGCCCCGCAGGGCCGTGCCGCTCCCAGCGGCGTCAGCACCGTGGGCAGCACTGTCTCCCCCTCAGTCTCGCTGGGCTGCCGCGGAAGTTCTGGGGCCTTCCTGAGGCCCCAGAGCAGCAGGTTCAAGGTTCAATCACAGGTTTTCTGAGCGGAAAACTGCTTTTGAGGATTCAGACTTGGGCATTTCTGAGCAGATGGACCTGTCTCCTTCTCTGCACAGTGGTTCTGTGGGGGCATGAAGCGAGACAGGCCGGACGGGGCCAGTGTGGGTCGTGGGTCTGCTTGCCGGCATCCCACCCCCCCAGCCCCAGCACCGGAGGCAAACCCACTGAACGGATGGGACAGAGAGAGTCAGAAAGGCTGAGTGACTGGCAGGTCGCTCGTGAGTCAGTGACAGAAGCAGCTTGGACCCCGGGCTCTAGGTTTTCCGGGCAGTGGAGAGCCTGGCAGCTGCAGGGGCCTTGGCCGGTCCCCTCCATTGTCCCCTGCTTGCGGGACAAGCCAGGGCCTCAGGCCGCTGTGTGCTGGAGAGCTTGGGAGCCTCTGCCCCTGCCTGCGGCCCCGCCACCCAGCCTCACTCAGGACCTGCTCCCTCAGTGGGAATTAGACACTGTTCCAGGCTGAGGGCCGGCGTAATGCCAGCCTCCACCGTGAGAAACCCCTCGGGGGAAGAAAGCTCAGTCTCAGCTTTACAGCCCTCCCTTAATAAAAATAAAGCAGAGGCCCCTTGGCTGAGGCCGCCTGCGCATCTTTACCTCGAAGATGCATCGAACTCGAGAAAATCACCCAGTGCTGCCCGACGGTCTCAAAATGTTGGTATTAAAGCATGTGAGGGGTGGTTTAAAGAGATGTGGAGACGGCACTGGGCCAAAAAAACAGAAGATGCAGGAATTTTGAGAACCAGCCTTAAATATCCCAGGGGGCTGTTGTTTAAGACGGAAAATAATGCCGGCCGCCTACTGGGGCCTGAATAGTCCCGGGCCCTTTTTGTGACCGATTTCATTCCTTACAAATGTCCTTACCTTAAGGAATTTGGCCCAGTTTACACCCGTGTAAACTGACGGCCCAGGAGGTTAAGCGATGAACCTGAGCCCCGGTGCTCCAGGCCCCAGCACCCAGGCTGCGCCTCTGCAGTGTCTGGGAGCCGAGCGCCCTGGAGCCCGGACTTACAGGGAGGTGTCTACATCCCAAGGCCGGGTGGAAACCGTGAGCCTCATCGCTCCAGAGTCACCATCTTCAACCCTCACAAGCACCTACTATGTGCTGGGCCCTGCACTGTGTGAGGACACAGAGACGGCACAGACTGGGTTCCTAATGACAAGGGTTTCACCAGAAAATGGGAGAGGCGGTCATATTAACAGACGAGGAGAGCCCAGTGTGGCAGGGAAGGGGGCCAGGCTGGGCCCAGAGGGGCTCTGACCAGCCAGGGAGGGGCACAGAGCGGGCATGGCACAGGTGACCGAGCAAAGGGGGCAAACAGGAGCCAGCCCGGCTACGAGAGGGAGACGGATGGTCAGAGAAGGACCAGCAGGAGGCAGAGCACTGGCCCCGCCCTGGGACATGAAGGGAAGCCCAGTGGCCTGAGGTGTGGGCAAGCCTGCTGCCCAGGCCCCGGGGGAGGTGGGGGGCCAGTCCCCAAGAGCCGCAGGACACGGGGGAGCGGCTGAGAGGTTTAAGCAGGGGGCTGACGTGGTCACAGAGGGGCCGGTGAGCCACTCTCAGGGCTCCGCGGTGGGCCGGCGGGCTGGGCAAGGTGGGATTCAGGCAACGGCCAGGCAGGAATGGTGTGGCCGGAGCTGAGCCTCTGACGGGGCTGGAGAGGACATGACTCCAGAGCCATCGGGGGAGAACGGCAGGCCCTGGCACTTCTCTTCATTCTGCGGGCGACGGAGAGGGAGGATGGGGGGCCCCTAACAGGAAGCCTTGGGGCAGGGTAAGGCACTGCTAGCTTTGCTCCTGTCAAACGCTCAAAACAATGCCCACTTTCTCCCCTGTTAAACAAAATTTCCTTTCTCTTTAAAACCTTTGCTAAAAATTAATTCTGCTTAGGTGGAAAGTGTTACTGTTTGGACACAAGGAGACGGTAATGCAGCAGAAAATTCCCAGAGGCCTCGAGGACTGAACCGCAGCCTTGGGACAAGTCAAGGCACCGGACAGCCAGAGTTAGAGGCGCGGGGCCCCCAGGTCCCAAGTCCCCCGGGAGGTACCTGTTCACAGGGTGCCTCAAATTCGGAGCAGCTCCCCAGCTCGGCGCCGGTCACAGCTTTCTGGCCTCCCCGCGCCCCGGAAATGAAACACCTTTCCTCATCACTCGGCTGCTATCTGACCCACCACCGATCGCACCTCAGCCCACAGTCCTGACACCTTCCCTGCCAGCAGAGGCTGGGCTCCATGGGGTGGTGCCAGGCCCCCTGTGTCCTCTCACTGGCAGACAAGCAGCAGCAGCAGGCCATGTGGAGGCCACATGCCGGTGATTCCCTGATGAACCGATCTGATCAGGGGAGCTCTGCGCGGTCACCACAGGCCCTGGAGACTCCCCCAATCCCTCCGTCGGCCTCGCTGGCACTCAGGTCTACAGCAAGGGAGCCCCACTCCGCACCCTGCAGCAGAGTAACACACTCGCTCCCGCTCCTCCATCTCTAAGGGCCGGCGCTTTTACATCTGGTCAACTAACAATTCATTTTCACAAAATCAGAGGCTCCACACAGGCAGGGTCTGCAGCCAGGGAAGCCCCCCGGTTCCCAGGAAGACCCCCAGTCCACCGATGCTCCCTTCCTGTCACTAGCCCTCACCTCGGCTGACTTAGATCCAGAGTCAAACATTATTTCCACTCCCTTGCGTACACCGTCCACCCCATGTCCTGGCAAAACCGCTGCCCTGGCTCTCTCCCCCCGGCCACGCCTGCAGCCTGGGCCAACCACGGCCAGAGGCAAAGGCGCGCCACCAGGCTTGCGGGTCCGCTCGCTCGCACGCCACTGATCACCTGCTGGCCTGCTGGACCTTTTACTGGTTTATTACGTCAGTGGTTTATGGTCCGTCGGCTCCAGGAGGGAGGGGCCTTGGTCTAACTCAAGCGCCGGAACAGCGTCTCCTTGACATACACCTGGGTGGTGGTCTTCAAAGAGCAGCCTGGTGTCAGAGCTGGAAACGCAGGCTCGGGGCTGGAGGTGTGACGCCTGCTAGGAGTGGGCTCTGAGCGAGTTCACTTGGGCTCCCTGTGACTCAGTTTCCTCATCTGCGAAGGGTCAAGATTGTATCTGCCTCGGGGTTGTTGTGGGGATGGAATGAGTTCATGTTAACATGTGTTAATGCTGGACAAGAGCCTCACTGTAATGATGATGATGATGACCAGTCTTCAAAAGAGTGACAACTTAGGCCCGGCCGGGCGTGGCTCAGCGGCTGAGCATCGACCTAGGATCCAGGAGATCAGGGTTCGATTCCCGGTCAGGGCACATGCCCAGGTTGCGGGCTCCATCCCCAGTGACTCTCTCATCATTGGTGTTTCTCTCTCTCTCTCCCTCTGTTGCCCTCTCTCTGAAATCAATAAAGATATATTTAAAAAATTTTAAAAATAAATAAAGAGTGACAGCTTAGCACCTACCGGCTCTGTCCACTGCAGCCCTGCTGGGCCAAGCCTCAGTCCTGCCCCAGGCCCATGCTCATGTCCATTCCTCACCAGTGGGTGGGCACTGAAGTGAATCCTATTGCCCCTATTGTCCCAGACACGGGGCCACCAAACAGGGCCCCCCAACTCCATCCGGCTGGGCTTCTGACACCCCAGTTGTCACTCTAAGCGCTGGGTGGGACCCCAGGGGGGAGGGTCCAGAGGAGCCGTTGGTGGACGGCCTCAGGTGGGGCAGCGATCCCTCCTCCCCCAGGACCTTATATTCTCCTCTGTCCCTGGTGAGGTCCTAGGTTGATGGGGGTGACGGCCACCCTGGAGGAGGCGAGGGGCCAAAGGTCACCCTCACAGCGTGGTTTTAAAATGCTCATAATTAACTCAGCAAGGCCTCCCGTCTGGGCTTCATTCACACACTGGACACACCGAAGATGAAGGAAGCAGAAGCCCCCAAAGCGGCCTGCTCACAAGCAAGCCAACCCCGACCCCCCGCCAGAAGCCGCCGTGGGGGACGCTGACGGAGCTGCGGCCAGAAGGATACTGAAGCTCCTGTCGGTGATGGCCAGGTGCCAGAGGTTGATGCGCAGGTCGTCCGCCGACATGTACGTCTCACAGTCGCTGTTGATGGAAATGGAGTTGATGTGGTAGGTGTGGCCATTGGCAAAGACCCTCCGTGGGCTTACCTCCACCATCAGGTCCATGGGCTTCAGCACGGGCACCTACAGAGCAGGGGGCAGGTCAGAGCAGGGCCACTGCAGGGGGCAGGCCACCGGCCAGGCGGCCACAGCAGGGCCACGTGGTCGGAACCAGGGGCTGGAGTCCCCCGGCGGGCACCCGTCCCGCATGTGTCAGAAACAAGCAGCGCCAGTGGCCAATGCCCATCACCGCCAGCCTGCGGGAAAGCCCACCTCCCTTGCCTGGCCTCCTGGGGTTGGTTCTGAGCCACTATGGGACTTTGAATAAGTGACTGAACCCCTCTGCACCCCAATTTCCTCAGCTCTAAAATGGAATGAGAAGGTGCCAGGGCAGAACCTGCTGACTCTCCGCCAAACATCTGCATCCCCTCCACCAGGGCTGGAGGACGGTGTGGCTGCCCGGACAGGGAGGGACTACACTTCCCAGCGGCCCTGACAGCGGGGGTGGCCACGTGGCTGGTTCTGACCAATGGGGCGTGAGCACAGCGATGCCTGGCACAAGGGCCCGGGTGGTAAAGAGGTGGGGGTGCCTTCTCTACCCTCTTTCCCCTGCCACTGAAGGAAGGGGAGGACCCCAGCTTTGGGGATGGAGGCGCATGGAATGGAAGGAGGCTGTGCCCCTGCAGAGCAGCCGTGTGCCAATCGGGGACACCCACACTGTACCTTTCTAGGAGCAAGAAATACATTTTGTGTGCCCGGCCCTGCAATGCCGGGGTCATTTGTAGGAGCCACCAGTGCTAGCCTACCCCATGGGGCCTCCTGCCGCGGAGGGCTGTTGTGAGGAGTCCCTCAGACAGCGCCGGATGCATGGCTCGGCTTCCCTCCTCGCCCTCAGCCTGGAACGCTCGCCCCCTCTGGACACCCAGTGAACCCTGACTCCTGCAAGATCCAGAGGCAACTGCCCCCCGAAGTGCAGCCCTCCTGGCAGGTAGGGGTGGCACACCCCCTGGACACCCCAGCACACCGCCCACATCTCTATTAGGGCTCAACACACACTGCTGGGCATCATTCCAGTGAACTGCGAGGTCTTCAAAGGTGTAAGGACAGGCGGACAGACAGACAGTCAGGACGTCATCGGTCTCTCCCAGGCCTGGCCTGGGTGTGATGCTCAGGAAATGGTGGCTGGCACCGCCATCCCCACGTCACCGGCAAGAAGGCTGGATGCCAACATGAACCTGACTTGTCTACGTCACGGGGTCAGGAAATGACAGAGTCGGGAGTGGAACCCAGAGTGACTGTCCCTAAGGGTGTCCTGGTGGGAAGGTGCAGACTGAGACCTGCCTGCAGCCCCACATCCTGCCCCGCCACTCGCTGGTGTTCCCTGCACCAGGGACTTCATGTCTCGGGCCTCAGTTTCCTTTTCTGTAAAGGGGGGTGAGGCTGGTGCCTGCTCAGAGTTAAGACAGTGCCTTCCGTCTGTGCCGGGCGCCTCCCTGTCCGAGAGGAGGGGCAGGAAAGGCCCACGTGCCTCCCCCTCCTCAGGTTACAGTTACGTGCCGTCGCAGGATGTGTGCGACACACAAGAAAATCTCAGATGCTGGGAGGGAAAGAAAGGGGATTCCCGCGGCCATGGCTCTGCCGCAAATGCCAGGCCCATCAGGAGGTGATAACTGCGTCTTTCCCACCAGAGGAAACCCTTGTAGACTTTCCTGGGGCTGGCTGTGGGGGTGGGGCACCATCACTCCCGTGGCTCTACGTCAAAGCTAATTGGCTTCCCCGCTTGCTCGGGATTTATTTGTGTAATTTGCCCGCCGTTTAGAGGCCACGGTGTCTAAATGTTTATTTCTCGTTCTTGGGAACAACACTGATCATTAGTTCATATTTGTGACAATCTGCTGGAGGCTTCCTGGCGAGCCAGCGAAGTCGTTTCAGAAAAAGTGAGGAAACTGAGGCACAGAGCAGGGAAATGCCCACCCCCACCCAGGGGCAGTGCGTGGAGTGGGGGGCGGTTTGCGAACCAAAGGCGATCTTTTAAGCTGAGCCTCCGTGACTCCAGGCCTCCCTCTGCCCCTCCGCACAGGGCTCGGGATCCGCTCCGTCCAGCCCACGGTTCTCCTCCGGCTCTGCCCCTCAGCTGGGCAGCTTCGGGCGAGTTCCTGACTCTCTCTGGGCCTCAGTTTCCCTCTTTGTGTAACAAGGGGTTGCAGGACTTGCTCTCTGCCCTCAGTGGCCGCTGAGAAGCTCCGTCCAGACTTGCAGCACCTCCCCCCGTCCCCGCGAGTCCAGGAGAGGACGGTCATCCCTCCTTGGCTGGGGAGGAAACTGAGGCACAGAGCAGCCAGGATCTGAACCTGGCTGTGGCTCAAATCTCAAGGGCCCTTCGAGGCCCCAAATCCTCATCACTGAACGTAGGAAACAGATGTTCCCGCCTGCGGAAGCCCGCGGCCGCGCCTCACCTGCAGCGACGTCACCGTGGACAGGTCCTTGAGCTTCCCTTCTTCGTCTTTCAGGTTATAGCCCTCAGGCCTCTTATCTCGTTCCGTGATCTTCCACAACTTGATAGTTTTATCTGTAAAAGCAGAACCGAGTGAAACAAGACCCGTGGTGAACACGATGGAACATCCACCCTCGTACCCTGGACACAGACGTGCGACCCAGAGGTTACTCGGCTACCACCTGTGCTCGGACACATGGGTGCTTCCCAATTCCTCCCATATAAATGGGCGCAGTGAACATCCCTGCGTGTGGGACGTCCCTGCATGTGGGACATCCCTGCGTGCGGGACGTCCCTGCATATGGGACATCTCTGCGTGTGGGACGTCCCTGCGTATGGGACGTCTCTGAGTGTGGGACGTCCCTGCATGTGGGACATCCCTGCATATGGGACATCCCTGCATGTGGGACGTCCCTGCATGTGGAACGTCCCTGCGTGTGGGACGTCCCTGCATGTGGGACATCCCTGCGTGTGGGACGTCCCTGCATGTGGGACATCCCTGCGTGCGGGACGTCCCTGCATGTGGGACATCTCTGCGTGTGGGACGTCCCTGCGTATGGGACGTCTCTGCGTATGGGACATCCCTGCGTGTGGGACGTCCCTGCGTGTGGGACATCCCTGCGTGTGGGACGTCCCTGCATATGGGACATCTCTGCAAATGGGCCATCCGTCTGCCTTCTCTAGCCAGTTAGCAGCCTCTACACTGATTTCCAGGAAGACTGCGCGGACGCGCTTCCCACATCTGTCAGCCCTTCACTGGGGGACAGCAGCGGGGAGCCCGTGTGATTCCTGAGCAGCGCCCTGCCGTCCGGCACACAGCACACAGCTCTCCAGCAGCCTCACTTCTCTGGACTCCCACCAAGAACATCCAAAGAGTAAGCTTGAGGAGCTGTGATGGTTAATTTTCTGTCAGTTTGGCTAAGCTACAGGTACCCAGATATTTGGTCAAATGTGTGTGAATGTCCCTGTGAAGGTCTTTTTAGGTGAAGTTTAATCCACAGAGTAAAGCATTTCAGCCTCCCTACAGTGGGTGGGCCTCCTCCAAACAGTTGAAGGCCTGGAAAGAAAACAGACTCAGGCTGCTACATCGGCTCTTCCCTGGGTGTCCTGCCTGCCCTGCGGGTTTTGGACTTACCAGTTTCTACAACCACATGGGCCAAGTCCTTAAAATAAAGCTCTCTTTCTACACACACACACACGCACACGCACACACGCGCACATGCACATGCTCCAGCACATGCACATGTGCACACAGGCACACACACATGCCCCAGCACACAGGCACACACACGCGCACACACTCGGGTACTCGCACACACGCACGCACATGCACATGCTCCAGCACACGCACATGTGCACACAGGCACACAGGCACACACACATGCCCCAGCACACAGGCACACACACGCGCACACGCTCGGGTACTCGCACACACGCACGCACATGCACATGCTCCAGCACATGTGCACACAGGCACACATGCACAGAGGCACACACACATGCCCTGGCACACATGCACACACATGCGCGCACACTCGGGTACTTGCACATGCACACGCACACACACACCCATGCTCCAGCACATGTGCACACATGCACAGAGGCACACACACATGCCCCGGCACACATGCACACACATGCGCGCACACTTGGGTGCACGCACACGCACACACACACGCACACGCAGGCGCCGCCTCACCGTTGGTGGACAGCAGGGAGTGAGCGGCGTTCTGCTGCGGGAGCCATTTGATCTTGTTGATCTTCTCCTCTATCTCCAGGCTCTTGAGATAATCAAACTCGGGCTCGTGGCTCTGGAAGGTGCTGTAGACGTCGTACTCGCCCTGGCTGTGGGGCGCATTCTTACTCTGCAAGGAAACCCGGGGGCTGGGCTTCAGGGCGGCAGGTGGGTGGGAACAGGCACAGAGCCGGGCCGGGGTGGGTGAAGCCCAAGGAGGGCCCGGCGGCCATGGCGATCGGCTGCCCCCAATGCCCGGGATCCGACCAAGGGTCCCAGGAAACCTACTCTTTAAACCTCCTTGCTGTGTGGCTGTGGCCAAGCCCCAGCTCTTCCTTTGCCTATTAGCAAGGGAAACAGTAACGAGCGAGCTCATGCCGGACACTGAGCTAAGTGTGTCTCACGCCTCATCTCCTTCAATCCTCAAGGCCCCTGTGTTGGCTGCCATGGCTCTCCCCATTTTACAGGTCAGCAAGTGGAGGCTCAGGGGTGACTGGACCTGCCAAGGCCACGTGTCCACTAAGTGTAACTCCCTCCGATGGGGTCCGTCTGATGCAGAGGCAGAGGCTGAGGCTGTGACCACGACGGTCACTGGGGCAAGGGCCCAGAGCCCAGGGCCAAGCAAAAGCGCCAACCCCGGCCTGAGGGCCGGCCCACAGCTGCAGAAGAGCCCTGCGCCCTCCCAGCGGTGGCCAGACAGTGCCAGCTCACCCAGGCTCGGGGCAGCAGCGGCTCTGCCTGTCCTGTTTCTCTGGGGTCCAGGACACAGTGAGCAATCAACAAGCACCTACTGAGTGGACCCGGAGGACTCCCTGCCCCCAGCGCACGCTCTCCATGCAGCTCTGGGATCCCGCTGGGAAGGAGGCCAGTTTCCCCAGGGGGGACAGCAGGGGGCACCCTGCAGGATAAAGCCCCCACCCTCCAGGGCCCGCCATACCTCTGGTTCCCGCTGGAAGATGACGACCCGGCCACCCTTGTCGCCTGTGGCCAGCAGCTCTCCCGTGTGGTTGAACTCCACAGTAGAGATGATATCGGCTGGGGGAGGGGAGAGACAGGAAGGCAGGGCTCCTTAGGACCCGGTACTGTGCCGGTCAACAGGACCTTCCACCTCACACCCCTTCCCCCCAGAGCAGGGCCACCATCAGGCAGTAGGGGCCCGAGGGGTGGGGAGCACTGACAAGGGGCCAACTGCCCCGCACCCTGGCTGCAGGACAGAGACGGGTTCTTGGGGGGCTTTACTCTCCTGCCTCCTGCCTCCTTCCAGGGCAATTTGAGGGTTTCCTCCTGTGCCAACCAGGTGACAGGGATGCAAATCTGACACTCACCAGCCCAACTCTTCAAGCCAGTGAGACCAACTATACCCCTCCCTGCCCCCCACTCCCCATGGAGGGGACCCCCTGTGACCTTCACAGTCCTGCTGGGGAATCTATAGTCCCAGGAATCTCTAATGTGACTTTAACACAATGGACCTACTTTCAAACAAACCAGAGATCTGACCATGCCTCCCCGGGGCCTCAGGTGGGGCACATAGCTGGCCCACCTCCTGCTTTGCTCTCCTTACATCTGCCAGGGTGACGGTTCACCTGAGTCATGGGGTGTCTCTGCCCAAAACTCTGCACTGGTCCTCAAACCGAATCCTGGCCCTGATCCCTCCCAACCCCCCTCCTCTGTGGCCGTCCCCACTCTCAGGTGATGGCAGCTCCATCCTTCTGCTGGCTCGGCCCAAGGCTTGGAGTCACCCCAACACCCTCTCCCTCTCCCTCTCATCCTACTGGCCCTTCCCTGCCTCTCCCACATGGGTGACCGAGGCAGCCTCCTAGGCTCTCCTGGCTCCCTCCCTGCCCGGCTGCGGACTAGCCTCTACACCAGAGTCTACAGCGAGAGGGAGCCGGCTCCAAAGCTCCAGGGGCTCCCTTTCCTACCTCAGAGTAAAGCAAAGGTCCCAGGGCGGCCCAAAGCTGTTTGCGACCTGAGGTCCCCAGAGACAGACCACATCAGGAGCCCAAATCTCCCCCCTCTCCTGCACCTGCCCATAGAACCCAGCACTGCTGACCACCGGGTGCCGAGTCACCTGCCCCCACCCCTGACTCGGCTGGGCCCCGTGATTTGCTTGGGACTGGGGCACACGAGCAGACAGGCCACAGACCTGGGCCTTGGCCACTGCCGGGAGAAGGACCTGCCCAGCCCAGCCCCTGGGCCCCAGGGAAAGGATGGGGTCTTGGGTGTGACAGACCCCAGCCAAGCCACCCCAAGCAAGCCCAGACCAGCGGAATCAGCAGGTGCACGATTAAAACCTTCAGTGTCCAGCGCCAGGGAGCTCTGTGATGTTAACCCAGTGAAAGGCAACGGACCCCTTCTCCCAGCCCCCCCTTCCCCTCCCCACCGGTCCACCCGGCTCTGGGCTCCTTGCTTTTCTCAAAAGCACCGGCTACCTTTTGTCTCCAGAGCTGCTCTCTTAGCCTCGAAGTGCTTTTCCCGCTTTTATTCAATAAACGCATTTTCCATTCCAATCGGTGGCTGCCCCACCCCCACTGGCCCCTGAGCCACAGGTAAATGCCAGCTTAGCCCGGAAAGAAAAGAGGGGGGAGGTGTTTCGGAAGCAGATGGGCGCGACGTGTCCATCTACCTCGAGAAAAGCACATCCCATTAAACTTAAGAACAAGACAAGGGGGGCAGCTCTTTGGGGAGTGCTCTGGAGTGTGCGACTGGGAATGGCCAGGCCCGGCTGCTGACACTGCCCTGGGGGG